TGACCGCTACCACTGACGCTATGACCGCTATCACTGACGCTATGACCGCTATCACTGACGCTATGACCGCTATCACTGACGCTATGACCGCTATCACTGACGCTATGACCGCTATCACTGACGCTATGACCGCTATCACTATGAGCTGTGACCGTTATATGCGGTTATCTTTGAGTGCCGGGACGTGAGCGCTCGCATCACGATCAACCAGACGCTGCGGCAGGGTGATCTTTGCGCGCTGGGAACGTGAGCGCTCGCATTACGTTCCGTCAGACGCTGCGGCAGCGGAGAGTGTTTGAGAGAAATGCGTGCCGCCACCAGAATCTTATTGGTTCACTTACTTTGTTTGAGATGAAGGTTGAAAGGGTCAGGGGACATAATGTTGGGTGAAAGAGAGCGACCTTTGTGTAAGCTTCCACTACGTCGAGATTATCACACATGACCGAGATCCTCTTTCTCCGCCACGTGTGATTCCGCAGCGCGCAGGCCACGACCACTGGGAATATCTCGTGTAGGGCAGAGGAGATGCTCCGGTGGAAAGTAGCGGCCACGGCCCGGCAACCCGATGGTCCTGGAAAAAAACCCCCCAAAACCCACGGAAGGGGCACGTCCGTGTAGAAGCGGAGACCTGGAGGGGCAGAGACATGTCGGAGAGGGCCATTGATGTTGCAGGCGCCCTTACGCTTAGAATCTTGGGTTGGAGAGTAGGTAATCAGGATAGTAGGATGGTCGGGAAAGCCGTGTCTCGGACCGCACGAAGGTTGAGTGTGCAGTAGTAAAACGCTTATGCAGAGAAGCCATGGAAGGCGAGCAGGAAGATGCTGCGAGGAGGGCAGACATGTACCTGGAAGATGAGCCGGGGTTCAGTGCCGCTGCAGGATGGGCAGCATGATTGGGAGCCTGCGATCAGAAGAGTGAAGAATACAGGTATGGATGCCTTTGATTAGGAGTCCGATTGACGGCTCAGCGCAGCTACTCGGCCAGCTGCATCTGATAGATCAGAAGATTAAGTAGAGAGATGAAGCACGACCGCCGAAGCGACCCTGGGAGCATAGGTGCGAGTCCAGTGCAGCGCGGCATACTCTGCCGGGCTGCCTCCATTAGAAGCAGGATAAGCTTCTGAGAGAGTGGGTTGCAGCAGTAGCAGTAGCAGTAGCAGCAGCGGCAGCGGCAGTAACCTCAGATAATAACGGCAACGACCTGTATCAGCCGCGGCAGCAGCAGCTGCAGCATCCGTAGATAATAACAGCAAAAACCCTGTATCAAAGCCACGGCAGTAGAATATGTTGTAGCTGTTTAGTGTTTCAGTAAGAGAAGCGAAGTGAAGAGAGATGACGAAGTACATGAAGCAGCAGCAGCACGGCAGTAGTAGCAGTATGAAGCAGCAGCGGCAGCAGTAGCAGCAGTAGCGGTAGCAGTATGAAGCAGCAGAAGCAGCATCAGCGGGAGCAGCAGCACCACGAAGCGATTCATACGAACAGACAGACGTGTCGCGCCAGTGTGCGCCGCTTGTCTCCATGAGCCAGGTTACATACGTGTCTGGAAGAGCCGAGCCACAGAGACAGGTGCAGCCTGGGAGCCTGCGGAACGGCAGCGGCACATGTAGTAGTAGGGGCAGCAGGAACAGGCAGCAGGGACAGACGGCAGCAGGAACAGGCAGCAGCAGGAGCGGCAGCAGGAACGGCGGCGGCGGGATCGGCATCAGTAGGAACGGCAGCGGGGACCGGCAGCAGCGGCGGTCAGAGAACCATGCCCACGGTTGTTTAACAGCCTGAGGAAATAAATCAACCCGAATCCGAAACATTCCCATGCGAATAACAGACGTCCCCTGGAGCCATCTTCTGCTTTGGTTATGGCAGATGCGCATGAACGATCACTGATCCATGCGTTCATAGCTCCAACACTACTTCACACCCATTGCAGATTCACGTTCGGCCCTTTTTCTTCCTGCTGCACTTTCAAAATGCAACACTGCAGTTAGTTACCTAATTTAATACCAGCGACCTAGCTATTTAAGCATGGTTTTACTGCAAGTGGCAGAACATGATCTGAATTAATGCACATAGCTCCTCGTATATCCCTCAGACGATAGAGATTGATGCCATTTAATATGCATTGCCCCTCGGTTAGCTCAGACACGTGTGAAAACGGAGCCTGCAGACCAAGCTCGGGGCGAAAAAACTGGCGCCTGCAGTCAAGTGCGTAGGGCAAAAACCAATCGCCTGCAGCCCAGAACTCCGGGATTAATCTGTCCGCGGTCAGCACACTCACTGTACTCACATGCCAGGAGACTTGGGAAAAGCAACGGGACAACGCGGCACCGCCAATCGAGGCAGGGACACGCACAGCACCGCCAGACCTTCTGCGTGCGGCAGCAGACCACGAGGAACGAGCCGCACAGAAACCCGCGGAGGGCCCCGCGGAGCAGCCCGCAGAAAGAGCCCGCAGAGGAGGAGAGCAGTGGGGATATGCGAACCACAGCAGTGCAGGGACGCGGAGGAGGAGCAGGCCAGTGCAGGGACGCGAAGGAGGAGCAGACCACAAGCAGCCAGACGGAGGACGCCAGGGACGCGCCGAGTAGCGTGAGTAGACGAAAACGATTCCTCCAGACGATTCTCTGCAAGGCTTCAGGAGCTTGCGAGGCTTCGAGAAGGCCGAGAGTGGGAGTTGCTCCGCTTTTAAGCGGCTGCCTGTCCGGCACGGATGATTGGAAGGGGGCGTTTGCTGAGCGATAGGCTGGGGAAGCGAACCGGCCTGGAGGGGGTAGCTTTTGGCTGACGTCTACCAAATAGAATTTTCGCGAGCTACATTTTTCTTTTTATTGTCACATTTTATTGTTCTACTTTCTATTGTATTATTGTATTGTTTTAGTGTCCCCAGTGTTTCCTCTGGAGGAGCCCTCTGCACTGAGAGCTGGGGTCTGCTGTGGCTTCGGGGGTCTGGCTCTTGGATCCGGTGGGGTCTGGGGCCTCCTCTCTCCTCTGGGTCCTATGGGGTCTGAGTCCTGGCCCTGGTGGGGTCTGGGGCCCCTCTCTCCTCTGGGTCCTGTGTCGTTCCCTGTGGCTGCAGCCGGCTCTCTGCTCCTGGTGCAGATGGCTCCTTGGATGACGCTTCTTCAGCCGGTTACATCTGCTCCCAGCCCCATATCTTTTTATTGTTTTACCTATTTTACCTGATATGACTTTATACTTGTATGCGTGTGTGTGTGTGTGTGTGTGTGTGTGTGTGTGTGTGTGTGTATATGTGTGTGTGTACTGTATACGCATGTGGTTGTATGTATAATTATAAATGTGGTTTTGGGGGGGTCTGTGGGGAGGAGAGTTTAGGGCTGGGCATGTTGGATTGTTTTTAACTAAACTGTAAAGCACTTTGTGTTACACTTTTTGTATGAAAAGCGCTTTATAAATAAAATTTGATTGATTGATTGACATATGCAGCAGCAGTAACAACAGCAGGTGCATGAACGTCTGCCTCTGACACAGCTTTCTTTTCTACGGTGTACTCCTCACAACCTGGAATAAAATAAAATTATTATGATTTAGTTCTTTGAGTGCAATGAAAAGTGATGTATGCATTTGTTTTATCCAACCACACGATCAGTGAGAAACATGTTTCATAGCTTTTATTTAAAGTGATTGTCTGGAGTTTGTCAGAAAGAGAGACAGAGAGGTGCTTGATTTGAAAAAAACAACGCAAGCTCCCTCCCCCTTCCTTTCTGATTGGTCTACACCTACGTTTCCGTAACACTTTGAAATGTTAATCAGAGAACACATAATACATATACATTATTAATACACATGCACGGAGGTTTTCAGAATGACTTGTTAACGTTTTTATGAAAAAAATGATGTTTTAATGCACAAAAAAACGATCGCGGCAAACCCGGAAGAAGCTATTATCATATTATACGACACATCTGCAGAGGATCTGATTATGGATATAGGTTCAGTATATACATAGGTAACTCAGCGCGGATGTTCAGAATTCTTTGTTCAGTTTTCATGAAGTTCCAGAGCCTAATAGAGGCTTGATTCGGAGGTTCCGCAAAAACAAACAACTGTGCATGCGCGGAGCTGCGAGCATCAGCGTTGATGATTGACAGCCCTTGGCATGACTCGATTGGTTAACGTGGACGGCATCGTGGATTCTGAACTATAGCTAAGAGAAGGGAAGGCGGGACTTACCCGTAATATTAGAATTAATAAAATGACTTATTTTATATCAACATTTAAGGCCAGGAGGTCAATTTACTACAATTCTTAAAATTTGTAATTAATTTAGAGTTACAGACTATCACTTGAAGTACTTCTAATCTTAAATACATTTAAACCATTAACTCTGACATGATCAGGTCTGTTGGATTCATCAATCCATCAATCGCACTAAATTAGATGCATTATTTACATGAAATATCACATTTTTAAGACTAATTATTTCTCTTAAAACAATTGTTATAACAGTGAAAGTATGATACAAAAGCCGCCTTTTTGGCTTTTCATAATTACTTCCACAATTAAGACTGTTAGCATAAGGGAGCTCTCAAAAGGACTCCCAGCGCATGACGCTCCATTCTGGGCATCAGCGCAGCTCTACACCCGTTGTTAGCGTGTTAGAATTGGAGCTCAAGGCCGGAGAAAAAGTCCAAAGAAAATCTGTTTAATCACCAAACAGATCTCTCATATGACAATAGAGGGGGGCATTCCCCACCTCCAATGTTAATACAATTGAATTTAGGTTTTAATTAGGATATAATATTTAACATTAGTGTCCTTAATAGTGCCATGCCACACTCCAGTGACAGCAAGTGACAGTTAATATATTCGACCCATTCTGAAACAGCTTGGTAAATATTCCTAAGATCATGTTAAATAAAAGGCTAAAATTAACACCAATACTGCATCATGCAAATTAGAAAATATTGATTCATCCACATCGTGACAATTGTTCAACCACTATGGATGTCTGCTGCTACTGACTTCAGCTGCTCGTGATGAATTCATTCAACCTGTCGTATGTAAGCGTGTGAGCATATGCAAGAAGAGACGAGTGAGTGATGCATGTGCACGGCAGGGGGCCTGGATGATGCGCGCTCGGGGAGGGAAGGGGGCCTTGATGATGGCCACTCGGAGAGGGGAGGGGGCCTGGATGACGTGTACTCTGGTATGGGTGGGGGCCTGGATGCTGTGGCAGCGAGGAAAGCGCGCTCTTTGCTCGCACACAACAGCCGCTCCTCTCAGTTCTCTCCGCTCTCTACTGCGCATGTTGCATGACAGGTTCACGCAAACCGCCTCCATCTTGGGCATCCCTTCAGCCGCGCCGCATACGCCATATACAAACGAAGACCATTATACTACGTCTATTACAATTAGACGTAGTAAATAGAGACGCGCGACACATTGTTTGGCAATCTGCCGACATGTAACTTCTAATACATTTTTATTGTCTTTGAATATTGAACACGTATCAATCGGGGGAAGAGGAGAATGGTGCGCAGAGACAAGGGATGGTCTGGACGCCTGTGATGCTCTTATGTCGCCAAACAAACTGACAGTCGCGTAAAGGTAAGTCCCCTTTTGTAATGGAGCATTTAATGTTTGATTTACGACTTTCCCGTCAAAATACAGGCGCGTGTTTGGCTTACATTCGCCTCACGTCTGAGCGGTGGTCGCGGTGGTTTTGTCCCCATATGCGAGCGCACTGTGACTGCTTGGATGTGGCAGTTATCCCGCTCCACTCGCGTGCCACTTCGGCTTTGTTTGGGGAGAGAATGACCCAAAGAGCAGCCACAGGTTGCGATTGTACCGGTATCAACAGCTTGTATTGTTTTGAATGGGGATGTGACATTATTATGGCACTGGAGAGGCAGGCCCGAGCACCGTGAGTCTGATTGGGGATGCAAATAGACCTTATTTGGTTCAAACGCTCTACAATTACACACGCATTCCCGTGCGTATTGACCTCTCTAGACCTATGGCTCGTGATGTCACTCCTGTCTGCGCAATATTGCCAACTTGCTAAGATATTTTGCCACGACACATAAAGGTCAACTATAGCCTTTTATTGTTATCTAAAACAGTTATCAAAAATGTATGAACCATGGTGGCACATAGGTTTGGATATTAACTGAAAGCGGGCTGTTTAATTGTGGCTATAATAATGAAGGAATGTGATGGCTCACCTTTCTAAAGCCAATATTAGATCTTAAATCAGGTAACAGCAGTCATGGAGACTGCTTACATCACATCTCTTATGAAGTTTGTGCGAAGTGATGGCGTCAGGTGACAAGTATGTTTAGAATGACAATCCTATGTTTATCCTATATCCACGTCACATGAAATGCATATAAGCGTGAGAGACATTATTTGAAAACGCAGAATTCCTTGATGGGACAGGTTATGTGATTGAAATTCACATGTCATGCATCACATCATCATGAGCATGAATGAAGTATGAATACAGGAATCCAATGTTTATGGTAATCAGAGTGCAAAGGGTGGAGTGAAAAGATAATATTTGATTTCCCCCACCTTTTCTCAGTCGATTTCCCAAATGTTTTGAGCCTTGGCACTTTTTTTTGATTAAACCAATCACATGGCACACCACCAGCTGAAACTTATACAAGCATTAAACTCTGCAGTCGTCATAAATAATGCAGAGTCAATCTCATCAAATTGTGTTGTGTTGAAAATCAAACAAGCATAAGTCTTTTTAATATCCTCATGTTACTATTATTATTTTGACCATTAAGGATCATTCCCAGACAAAATCTCAAGACATACCAACGTCCCACGGCCCACTGGTTGAAAAACACTGGTTTATATTGTAAGATCCGTATGTTAGAGTAGCAATCCTTATGATTCAAGCATAGCTCACACACAGCCCTGCTTTCAATGCCATGGTACACGTCAACAGGAGTCTGTCAATACTTTCCCCCTTAATCTTATTCTTGATGATTGGGCCAAATCTCACAGGACTATATGCAAATAAATTCTGCATTAGTATCACTTTATAAATGAGACAATAGGGCATAATTATCAGCAAATCAAAATGCAATTATTCTCCCTTCTGCCCTAAATGCTCTGTTGGGGGTATTGAAGAGAACCTCGAAGTATTCCTTCCAATGCCCGACAATATCCCCAGTCGAGGTCAGCAGCTCTCCACCCGCCCCGTACACGGTGTTGGCAAAGAACTGCTTCCCCCTCCTGAGGCGCCGGACGGTTTGTCAGAATCTCTTCGAGGCCGACCGATAGACATGCTCCATGGACTCTCCGAACTCCTCCCAGTCCCGGATTTTTGCCTCTGCAACAGCCTGGGCCGTGGCACGCTTGGCCTGCCGGTACTGGACAGTCAAATGTCATTCTTTACATATGTATGACTGGTGCTCAGTTGGGAGCAAAGCTTGTCCATATGAGAAGCAGTGGTTCTTTTGTGAGTGCAGTAATTAAAAGACTCAATACATACAGATTCACTGGGGCCATGTGATTTTACTGCTGTGTGTGTGTGTGTGTGTGTGTGTGTGTGTGTGTGTGTGTGTGTGTGTGTGTGTGTGTGTGTGTGTGTGTGTGTGTGTGTGTGTGTGTGTGTGTGTGTGTGTGTGTGTGTGTGTGTGTGTGTGCGTGTGTGTGTGTGTGTGCGCGTGCATTTTCATGTGCATAAATAATGTGTTGGTTTTAGAAGAATTGGAACAGTTTCTGTAGAAGGATTGAACGTGTATCACTAACGCCCAAAATGGAAGGGTGTTGAAAAAGAAAATTTACAAATATTTTTCCTGATAATTATTTGATAGTGATTTGATTCACAAAGCCGCCACATTATTCCACATTAAGATGTCACATGAACGCATAAATATTAAGGTTAACATCGAAGAAAGATTGAAAAAGCCATGAGTTGTAATCTATTTATAGGATCATAAATACAGCAGATGTATTTAAGATGCTCTACACTTCCAACTGTGCACTTCATTCATGTCGGCAAACCCAACGTTTCAGTGTCCACGATAAAATACACAATTGAATTTTACGTTTCAAATCGTTAATTTGTTATATGGTGCTATTTAAAGTCACACACTTTTCATCTCACACTGCATGAAAAGTTAGATTTTCGTCACCCTAAACTGCAGGAAATCACGCTCTTTTTCGGGTATCTCAGGCAGTTTTCAGAAGGCGCAGTTAGGGTGCCCTGTCCTCCAAACTGCCGTATCCGTACCATGCTAATGTCCCTACTTTGCATATGAATGCAGCGAAACACTGCGACCGGCGGAGCGCTAATGGCCCTAATTAGCATATGAATGCAGCGGCTGGCCAGGCTGCTATTCAGCATTGGTGAATACCACTACTTTCAAACTCGTGATTGGCTGAAAAATCACACGTGGCCAGCCCACGTGGGATTACTCCCCATTGGTAGCTTACTCCCCATTGGATGAAATCACTACTTTCAAATAAGTATAATCTCTCGTGATTGGCTGGCAGATCTGTCACTATTGGTCACCCTGCCTCATAATTAATGTAATAATATTTATATAAATATTCGTATTATTTATAGAAGAAATGAAAATTTTCCAGGAATATGTTCATACAAAGAAAGCTTTATTAAAACACACACACACACACAGCTTTATGCTCACACATAGGTAATTAAAAAATTACAACTCTGAACTGTCCAAATAGCCTCCTCGGGGTTGTAATTTGGCAGGGTTCTAGATAGACGCTTAATGTGCGTGGCTCTGTACTTCCGCACCGCCTCTAACCGGGACTGCAGCTTGACAGAGTTCAGAAAACTCCGGCTTTCGAAAAGACGGCGACCGCACAATCCATCCAGAGACACCGTCCACAACGCCTTCTTCTTCATTGGACATTAGGTCTACCGTGGCGGACTTCCAGAGTTCCACTTTGTCACTTTCTAGCACACTCGGTCTCGATTCCAGCGGCTGAAAGAATCAGTAAATATTATTAGCCAAATCAAATCCTTTTTCCCCATCTAAACATAGTGTCTAAAGCAGACCTGGAGATTCTTATCCATGCATTTGTCTCCAGTAGGTTAGACTACTGTGCCACAACAGCTGCAGTACATTCAAAATGCAGCAGCTCAAGTCCTGACCAGAACCAGGAAGTACGATGGTAACACTGCATGAAAAGTGTGATTTTCGTCTCTTTTCGGCCCTGTATATTACTGTGAAACTTCTGGGATTCGGCTGTTGACGGTAGTTTGTTGTCCCCTCCTCACTCCTCCACAGGAGGCTTTAACATGTAAATGGGAATGCTGTGAGCTATACAAATGCTAATCAGGGTGGAGGGGGAGCACAACTTTCCAGTGAAAGTGTAAGTGCTCATCAAAGGATATATGTATGTACAGTACAGACCAAAAGTTTGGATTTTTTATTTTTTTTCATGACTATGAACATTGTAGATTCACACTGAAGGCATCAAAACTGAATTATGTACATACCTAAAAGAAAAGGTAATCAACTGAAAATATGTGTTATATTCTCGGTTCAAAGTAGCACCATATATATATATATATATATATATATATATATATATAAACATATACATACACACAAACGGCTGTTGGTGTTATCATCACTCTCTAGATCCATGCTCTCTTTACACACTGTAAAAAATGTCAGTGAAATGTACTGAAAATGTCCGTAAAATGGTGACTGAAAAAAACTGTAAGTTGAAAAACCCTCAAACTCAGTTTAATTAACAGTAATGTTCAGTTGGAAGTTTTACTATCCAAGATAGTTACTTTTAGAGAAAATGTATGTTAAAATTATAACATTGCTTTGTAGTTTCAACACATAAAAACTGCAAAACAAAAAACAAGCAAATACAGTCAAATGTACATCAAGAGTCTATTACTAAAGAAATTAAAATACTTGAAACTAATGTTTACAAGTAATTAACTTATTAGTTAACCATTACTCCTGTTTGTCATTAATCATAACCCATTCCACGAAAAATTGGTACAAACTCAATGTATGAGTAAATGTGTGATATAGTGAAGAAGAAGAATAGACTGAAACTGCAATTAAAATGTTCATTATTATTAATCACTACATTAACACCAACAAGAACAACGTTTGGTTTTTTTGTATAAATTTCTCCATGTGTGTAGAGTGCTTCTTGTGTTTCTTTTCTGAGTTTAAATGACTAAAATAAATACATTTATATAATCTGTTTAATCTTTTAACCAAATAAAGCTTTTGTAACTTTGGGAAGGGGAGTGATTAATTAATAGTGTATTTACGCGTGCAACAACAATAATTTTCCATGCAAAATATAAATCTGTATATTATTTTCAGACTGGACTCCTTGATTTGTAGAAGACGTTTTATTTTCCGATAATCAACTATCGTGAGAGTTTAGACACATGCGGAGTCAACGCTGTGTACGTCAGTCCCTGGATCAGTGCCGTGTGCAACTTTCACACAACACTGGACAGAGAGCGTGAGTGTGCGTTGGTGAAGAACAGAAGCATTCGTTCGAGAAGCCGATAACACGGGTAAGATAATTTATCTTGATACAGAACAGAAGAAGGACATTTAGTTTTTCTGAAATGTGTCCGTTGTCCGGCAGCTAGTTTCAGTATCGTGCTGCCTAGCCGTGGCTAGCTAGAAGAGCTAACGCTAGTTAGCATCGAGCATTTCACCATTGTGTGATGCTGTGACATGAAACTGGACTGCATTTACGGTGTTGCATTTCACACGTAGACAAAATCTTGCCATTCTGGCATAAACATCTCATAAAACAATTAAGCTGATATCCGGTTATTTTCAGAACCATACGTTTGGCACGTGTTTAGCCGAACGTGCTAACCAGAAGAGCGCAACTTGAGCACGTACGGGCTGAGGAGAGGCTCTGTGGCTGTTTGGAATACAGGTAAGATATTCATTTGATTAGTTTAAGATCTGCACTAAACAGGCATTGTTTGAAGGGAATGTGTTTGCCAAGATGATTACTTGTCGGTTTTGTATTGATCAGAAAGGGAAAAGGCTCCTGCGCTACATGATTTGCTTTAATTTGTCCATTCTTTGAACCCATTTCTATATTGATGCTAAGGAGTTAATGCTCTGCCTGGTGAAATGTCATTTTACTTGTATTTAACTCGTTTTGTTTCTCCTTGGAAGGACAATCCTGTTAATCTGCAAACCGGTTTATGCTGAGTGTGGATCGTATGATTGTCCAGGACAACGTTGGCTCCTTTGTGTCGGCCATTTCCATGATGTTTGGGAGTTATTATTGCTTAAACATCCATTATCCAATACAACTGGCCTCAACTCTGGAGTTTCTGCAGAGGTATATGCCTTTTTGTATATTAACCTCTTAACCCCCACCTGATCAAACTACATTTTCTCCAGTTTGGTTTTACCCAAATCTAAAATTGGATAAAAGCACAACAAAGAAATCCACAAAAGCTCAACATAATAGAAACATGTATCTTTTTTCAGTTTTTGTTGCTGTTCTTTTTTCCCCAGAAGGTATTACATTTGGGTAAAATCAAACTGGAGAAAATGCAGCACAAGTGTTGATCCACAAGATCAACACTTGATTCAGACACATGGGCTGTAGTTAGAGGACCTCCATAAGTATTCAGTGAATCCTACATGTGTTCATTTTGTAATGTGGGAGGAAACATGTAAGCAGCTAGGACTTTAAGGAATAGGCCACCGTTTTTACACACTGACATATGCTCTGTCATGCAAACTGAGCACAAACACAGCCTCTTCCACTGTATAGTTCCAAATCAGCTCCCGTTAGAAGCTCCCAAACTCCTCCACGTGTTCCCTATTTAAATACAGTTACGTGACGTGTTACACTACCAAGTATAGTAATAATACGAGGAGCACTACGTCCATGCACTAACTCCCAAGACTTCTCTCCCGCTCACTTCCGTCAATAGCAGCGTGAGCGGGAGAGAAGTCTTGGGAGTTAGTGCGTGGACGTAGCGCTCATTGTGCTCCTCGTATTATTACGCCTCACAATATAGTGCCCCTTTTTATCCGCTGAGAAAATCGACATGTTACATTTCTGTGTTACTGTACTTGGTAGTGTAACACGTCATGTAACTTTATTTAAATAGGGAACACGTGGAAGAGTTTGGTAGCTTCTAACGGGAGCTGATTTGTTACTATACACTCTGTGGAAGAGGCTGCGTTTGTGCTCCGTTTGCATGACAGAGCACATGGACACAGACCAGACAGGTACATATCAACTAGTCTAAGGTAAGAACATGTGTCAGTATGTAAACACGGTGGCCTATTCCTTTAACCCATGACCTGTGTTTGACTGCTTAGCTCTGCACCACTGTGATGCAGAGCTAAGCAGTTTGTATTGCAGCACATTTGTATTTTAAATGTAATTTTTATTTAAATATATTTCAGGTGTTTTTTTCTCCATCAACCCAGAGAAGGGAACCAAAGTGGAGAAAAGCAAAACCAAACGTCTTAATGTGAACCCCAGAGTCCTTACCTTGATTCAAGAACTTTCAGATCATGAGTGGTGTAATGTCTGAATATGGACTGAAATAAGTAAGGTTTGTGGGCTGCGATGGAGTTTTATATTGTTGTGACGTTCAATGTTTCAAATTTGTTCTTCAGCTCTTAAATTAAGCTTAAACCCACATGTATTTTCTGTTAAAGGAATAGTTAAGTTTTTCCTTACTGAAATGTTCTTACCTTAGGTTAGCCCAGCTGATGTGTACCTTTTGCTCTTTGTGTCACATCTGAGACATTTCAAGCTAGCGAGCTCTGCCATGTTTATTCTATTTTTAAATTCAGTGACGTGAAGTGTAGTTACACAGAATTTAAACATATTGATTTTCTAAGCGGAATAAAAATAACTTATGTTGTGAGGCGGAATAATACGAGGAGTACTTCCACACACAACGCTTCAAAGACTTCTCTCATGCTCACTTCAATCAATAAAAGGAAAAAATGGAAATTAATAACTGCTTGACCCCAGTCTGAGCTAGTCACGCTGTTTTTTTATTTCTATAGTTTATTGACTGAAGTGGGCGGGAGAGAAGTCTTTAGGAGTTGTACGCGATACAAGTGCCCCTTATATTATTCGGCCACACAACATGGGTCTTCCTTTTTATCTGCATAAAAAATCAACTTAGTTTAAATTCTAAATGGCTTGCGTAATGGCTTGGATCAGATTGCATCATACAAGCCAAAAAAGGCCTTTTGTTTTAATTATTTTTGGATGGAGATAAGCATATTTGAGAATATTTTATTTGACATTAGTGTTTTACAGTGAAATATTTTGACATTTGTTTAAAACGGTCTTAGTATTGACTTTTGGCACTGTAGTGTTGTCACTGAATATACAGTAAAGTTTCATTTTCATTTATTTTGTGAAATGACTCATTTAATGCAGCTTTTAGTTAAGCAATGTTGAAAGTGCAATATTTTTCAGGGAAATGTCAAAGTACATACAAAACATTAAACTTGTAAACTGTACTGAAAAAGATTGTTTAATAACAAGGTGGTAACTTATAAAAAGCATAGTAAACCTGTACATTTAGCTGAAAAAGATCGTTTTAATAATTAGGTGGTTATGTATAAAAAGCGTAGTAAACATGTACTTTTTACTGTAAAAACTAGTTTTAATAACGGGGTGGTTTAATAACGGGGTGGTTTTGGTAAATATACAGAAAAAAACCTGTTTAAATACAGTTGTATTATGTAAAATATACAGGTAATTCTGAAGGAGAATCCTCTGTGGCAGTTACAAGGAGATCCAATCAGGACATGTGTGAGAAGGACACAGCTAAAGAGGTCCTGCTGCATTTTGTATCATAAGACTTTGTAGATTGTCATTTTACATTTTCCACGTGTTTGTAGATGGTGGAACTGCAGGAAAAGCCTGGTGACCGAGAGATCCTTAAAGATTATAATTCTGTGAGATCACTAAGTCACCGCTCTCGAAGACAACTTGTCGACCTTCTCGTCAGTGACATGAGTGAAACACATGGGTATGTTGTATCCCTCAGTTATTACTCAAAAGTTCCTTCTTACAAGTGGAAGGATATTTACTCAAAATAAAATGAAAATCACTTGAAAGACCTTTCACAATAATCACGTAACAATTCAGTTTCTCTCAGCACTGTTATTGATTCCCCATTGTAAGATAAATAGTACTGATCTCTTTTATAAATGACCTAGGTAGATGTTCTCCTGTAGATTATCTCTTGGTTAGGTCCCCGTGAAAATATGTACTTGTAGATACTATTAATTTAGCCTTTTTATGTAACCATGAAGTCCCTTGACCATGACTGTTTTTCTTTCCTTAGACAAATGCCTTCCCGAAAACAAAAAGAAAGCTATGCTCTTAGAATTATCACACTTTCTTCATTGAAGGATCCATTTTCTCAAAAAGGTTATGTAAGTATTGTTAATGTATCCATGGAAATTGAATTTGGTTTATCTACACATGTTTTGTGTCGGTAATGGATATGTATAGATACCAATCATAACTGTACACTTTGTTTTCAGACTAATCTCGCCTCGTAATGAGACGGTGACCTCCTATTTGCTTAACACAATATCTGCAAGTCCACATTTCCACCATGTTGATAAAGACGACATTGTGTGTAAGTGTTTTACTGTTTCTTCCTTGTTTGACGTTACTGTGACTTGCGTTTGATTTTTATTCATACCACTCTTTTGATTGTTTTCTAGCGGCCTGTAAGACTTATTATGAGACGGTTCGCAGGAGCCATCAAAATGCCAAGCCAGAAAACTCATTGAGGGCGGATGTGGCGAAGAGTTCAGCTCAGTCGAGCGAGAAGAAAAAGGGTAAGACTAAACTGCATCGCACAGTAAGGCAAGGGAGGTTTATTTGTGTAGCACAATTCATACACAAGGAAACTCAAAGTGCTGAGCAAAAGAAAGCATTAAATAATCACAGTACATTAACAAAGATAAATATAAATTCCCTCAGTTGTAGCACAGCTAAAGTGAGACAGGCCTCTTCTCTGACAAGGTTTAAAACCAGGTTAAAAACACTTCTGTTTAGCTGTGCTACAACTGAGGGATTTTATATTTATCTTTTTTAATGTACTGTGATTATTTATTTTAATGCTTTCTTATTTTGCTCAGCACTTCAAGTTGCCTTGTGTATGAATTGTGCTAGACAAATAAACTTGCCTTGCCATCGTACTTCCTGGTTCTGGTTAGGACTTGAGCTGCTGCATTTTGAATGTACTGCAGCTAATGTTACAGTAGTCTAACCTACTGGAGACAAATGCATGGATAAGAATCTCCAGGTCTGCTTTAGACACTGTTTTTGATCCTGGCAATGTTTAGATGGGAAAAAAGATTTGATGTGGCTAATAATATTTACTGATTCTTTCAGCTGGTGGAATCGAGACTGAGTGTGCTAGAAAGTGACAAAGTGGAACTCTGGAAGTCCGCCACGGTAGACCTAATGTCTAATGAAGAAGGCGTTGTAGACGGTGTCTCTGGGTGGATTGTCTTTTCGAAAGCCGGAGTTTTCTGAACTCTGTGTCAAGCTGCAGTCCTGGTTCTAGAGACGGCACGGAAGTACAGAGCCACGCACATTAAGCGTCTATCTAGGCCTGAGATACCTGAGATACGAAAATCAAAATGCAGTGACATGTGCAATTATTGGCCCGTGATGGCTCCTCTAAATGGGCCCTGCTAAAGTTCGACCTGGTAGGGGCCAATGATTTTGACCCCTACTTTTATGGTGTTTTGTCCAATGTTGCAGGATGCCATGAATAAAAAATGATTGTTATAATACCAAAATGACTTATGAAACGTATCATCCAATGGTCAATTGCGCCACAATAGCCATTTGAAGCACGTCAGCCCGAGCAACTCGTTATTTGGGCTATAAGTTAGCCACTACCACTTGTTATTAGGACCATACATCACAATAACTTACTAGGTATCTTGAACCGACACATCTTGCAAGAACTTGACATCTTTACCAAGAACAAGGTACATAGCTGAAGGACTAAACTAAAACAATTAGCTAAAGGAATAGCTACATCTGCTTTAACCTCAAACCCAAGAGATCTGTAGGAAACGAGTCAAGCAAAGCATATGCTAAGATGACTCATGTAACATATGTGTCAGAGGGGGTCGTGCATTAACGGCTCCGTGGACATTAAAGATTAATAACCATCAAAACACGCCTAGACTGCTCCTTACTTCAATGCGTCATCCATATCGCTGCACTGACTCTGCACTTTATTTTCCAGCACCCCTTCAAGTCCGCATTAAAACCTGACAATGATTGAGCGGAACATTTGAAGGAGCAGAAGCTGTCGCCCATTGCCCCGTTCAAGTTCAAAGATATCAATTAACTCGCAAACAAACATGGTAATCATCTTTGAAACTGACTTGGCACAGACCTGTGGGCAGTTTATTTTTTTATTTTTGGGAATTAAAATTGTTCGCAAATGCCTCAGTGCTACGACAGCAATAGTATTCTTAATCACTCTGTCACGGATTGGGGACAAGCTTTTAAGAGCAGCGCGATGAGTGATGGAGCGGCCCATGATATAGACGGCAAAGTCGGGCAGTATTGCTATAGATGCGCCGATGGGAAAGGCGAATTAAGTGGCATCTGGAGGAATGATTAATTGATAGCAAACACATTCAATTTAACGGCTCTTGATCAATTTTATGAACACATCCGCCACCCCACCCTACCCCACTTCTTTTATTATGTACAACTTCAATTAACCAGGCTCCCAGGCTCTGACCTATCACTGCCCACCCGGCATTAAGAATAGTCTAAAAAGAATGCTGGCACACATCGTATGCTCGAGGGATTTGTGAGGGGGAAAAAGCGATCCATGTGATCCTTAACATTTCGGTGTCTCATCAATTGCATATAAAGCCAAGGAAAAGTAAAACAGTAAGAGATGTTTCTGTCCATGTCATTATATTGCACATAATCATACATTCTCGCAGCATGGACAAACAGGAACAGAAGAAAGACCAAAAAAACGTACATATATCCTGTCCCTCGTGTTGCTGGTTGCAAAGATTTTTTTTTCCATTTCACCCACAACATCACCTGTTACCAATCTAACATCAATAGAGTTGTTTTGTTTTTTTGTCCTACTCCATAAAAACAACTAACTGTACTTCTTCATTTCTTCATTTCAGTATTTCTTTTGTACTAATGTGTTTTTTTTGTTTTTTTCTTCAAATGGAATATATTTAGAACATTAGTCACTCTGAGATTTCCTGATCAAACACCACATACAGACACAACCTTCTGTTCATAGAACGTTTATCTTGCAAATGCAGCTCTGATTTGTATTTCTGTCTTGTCTGACATTAATTTCTTTCTATCTCTGACATAAATTTGAACCTATATTAACTGCGTCAGCCAATAGTTTGTGTTTGGCTTTCCCTATGCAATATTCTTTAAACTTAAGTTGTTGATTAGATGAAATTTGCGCTGATTCAGCACTGATGCCTAAACTTTCGTTTAAGTTCATTTCAACAATAATTTCAGTCTGAATAATCTGATGTCACTAGCACCTCACTACATTTTATACAATGATCTCTACAAAAGCAATGTATAGGATTTGGTTTTGCTAAAGATATATAGGAGGATTTCTACTTCAGGTATAGCAAGACAATGGTCCCCAATTGTCATGAACGATCAAATTGCTAGCTCTGGCACATTTTACTTGTAGAAAAACACATTAATGTACACTGTGCCATTCAAAGAAAGATTAAAAACAAATAAAGTAAACAAAATAGTGTCCGGTTATACATGCTGCGAGTTTTGGTTCACAAAGTGGAGAGGACAGTTCTTTCCTAAAATTTGAGAAAATCCCGCCTTATACCTTTAAGGAATATCTAATGCTTTTACTTCACTAAATATAAAGGAGACGTATCTTTCAACCAATTTTGTTAATCATGTAAAGGCTTTACCGATCAGGCATTGAGACTTTCAAGTATATCTCTATGTTCATCTGCTTTGAAGTTTGGCTGATGTATCCCAAAATATACATGAAAAAGTGGTAGGGTACATTTTAACATTGTGATGGACTTATCTCTCTTATACATTAAAGAAATAATTGCCTCTTTAAATAAATGACAAGTAACACAATCTTGATTCTACCCTCTCAGGACAGTCCTCTTCAGTTCACATTCTCACAGAAGCTGTAAATTGGAACAGTGATTTTCAGAGAAAATGTTCTGAGAAAAAGAGACTCCCATGAATGCGGCAAGTTGAAAATGGTTTCCCTCCAAGGCACGACTGCTTTTATTCGTGTAATCTCACCAACCTTATTGAGAAACCCCCTTTCTCACTCTGTAAAGGGGTCCTTCAGAATAAAATTGTTTCCCATAAGTTGAAGGTGGGCATGTTCTGATTGCCCTGAGAGCAATTTTGGACACTCAACTCAATCACTTTGTGAACAGGATTAGATTTGAGGACTTCTGTGCAGGTTTGAAGCACTGTGAAAAACACAACATTTCAAAAGAAACTTAATCATTGCAGTTTAGGCAGAAGTTTGGATAAGCACGAATCGATTATTCAGCATACAATAGCGAATAAATGATATGTACCCAAGGACTTTGTTGTAAGTAGCCATCCTTCCATTTTCTCTACTTTCAACAGTCCTAATCAGAGAACTTTCTAGCCACACACACTTTGTCTAGCTCAGCCTGCCAGTATCGATGATCGTGGGGCGGGTGGGTAGCTTGCATACTTTCAGGGCTTTTCTGTCTATGGCCCGTGTCATGTTAGCCTGGTCTTACCATACAAAAGTCTACTCATTCCTTTCGTACAAGTTCTGGATATTCTACATTGAAATTACAGGTGGGGAGGTGAACTCCTTTTGCAGATTGAAACGATTCGATCTGATTTATGTAATTGGTGGTGACCTATTTGTTCGACTGAGTAAGTGAGGCCTAGCGGCCCCATTTAGCCTAGCTTTTAGCATCTCCTTTGCCACTAAAGGAGCTTGTTAGCAGTAGAGCCACACATCTTTGCCAACCAATGAAATTGCTAAACTTTCCGTTTTCAATTTCTTGATATTTGGGAGCCAGGACCAGAGCAGATAGAAGGCTTCCAATGTATCAACATCGTTGCCATTACCAACTACAACCAAAAATTCGGCGCAAACTCTTGACTCACTGACACCTACCTACCACACCCTCTCCCCCGCTCGCTGAATGTCGGAGGGGATACAACTGAAGGTAACCGCACGCACTAGGATCAGACCCAGAGGTAATGTAGGAAATTATGAAATGACCGGAGTTTACGGATGGCTAAAGCCAGTTAGTGTCATGTGGACTCAAAAAAGAGGAAATCCCAAAATAAAGATTCAATTAGGTAAATAAATAAAACTCCAGACAAACAAAGACAATTTACAGGTACATATAGACACAGAGATCATACAGGTAAAACACAGCGGGCGGACTGACATTTATTTAACACAGGGAAACAGAGCAGAAGTCAAACAGGAAAAAAAAAAGAAATAAAACCACAAAGTAACAGTACAAAGAAGTAAAAAAAAAAAAGTTAAAAAAAAAACACAAAATCCGCATCATTTTAAAAGATTAAGGTTAATTTAGTGTTGAGGATAAATGTGATGCAAATTGATGATAAAAGGTGTGGGGCTGTGGGAACACGGTCTCTCAGAGTTTCTGATGAATAGTGAATGAAGGCAGCCACTCTCCCGATAACAACAAGGAGCCTGCACTGACTACACTGCCGCTCATCTTTAGTATCCAGAGGCGTTCCAGATTCCGCAGAGAGTCTCTTCAGCGTGTGTGGGACTCCCCCGGGGTTTCCTCACGAATAAAAGTTCATATCGTCTCCAGGGAGGCGTCCAGAAACACATGCCCGAGCAACCTCAGCTGGCTCCTGTGCAATACTTTACTTATTTGCTTCCTGAAAATAAAGGCGGATACTGTACCATCCAGAAGACATGACATGCTATCTGTGTGTATGTCCGATACTTATTCATTATTATGTACTTTATGCACTTGAAAAAACAGTGTAAATTGCTTGCACTTTGCCCATTTGCCCGCGACTTGGAAAACCTTCTGTATGCTAACAAAAGTGTGTTTGTATAGCATTGTTCATACACAATGCAACTCCAATGGCTGTAAAACATAAAAAAAAGAAACACGAAATGAAACATCAAAATAGTAGATAAAATTTCCGTCGTGTTGCAATCAGCTGATATTATTACTCCATCTGTGAATAAAAGAATGAATCCTTTAAAAAACAAAACGAATATAACGGTTGCAAATGGCAAGGGAATACCAAGATGGTTTTAAACGACTGAAAGTCATTTTATGAAACCACTTTGCAGGTCGCAAGAGGGGCGAGGCCTTTCATCGCCGCTTGCGGCTTTAATTATAATTGTTATCATGAATTTAAACACAAGAGTAGAGTTCAACTCATTTACTGCCAGCCAGAATCTGAAAGACTGAACTGTCTACTTATAGCAGCAAAAAGAAGTGGTTTTAGCTTGAGTGTGACAAACAGCTGAGAAAATGAGGTGTTTGTGAAAACAGATTAACTTGCAGAAAAGTGACTAACACTATTTAGTTTAACTTAAGCATCTCCTCAAACATGTCCAGGATCTTACAAACAGCAACAAGTTCTGAGAGAGTATTTTTGGTGTAAAATAATATGGCACACACACATCCACCTAGTGTTGATTGAATGTTTCAAAATGTACTCATGCAAAAATGTCAAAATGTACATATTGAAAGTAGAGCCCATGCCTTCAGGAAGCGACCAGTGAAAATGGGAGACAGCCTCACATCTTGGCGGTTGGGACATCGAGAGACAACATCCATGACTTCTACATCGCTGTGGACGGGCAACTCCTTCGTCATCCCTGTCTGCCTTTGATGAACTTTTCAAAGCGCATTACGTGTTCGGCATCTCTTATGACCAGGCCCTTAACAACATGTACACATTTGTGCAGACTACAATCTACAACATTGATATGTGACAATGTCATGAAAGCCCAAGAGTGAAGGACATGCGGGCTAAAGTCTTAAGTTAAGACCTGTCATGACCTTTTAGGTGCTTTGTGTGCAAGTTCAGATTCAGCAACGTTAAGATATTAGTTCGACATTTAAAGTTCAAGCATGCTTTTTATCCTGGTAAAAGTTTTGTTCTCATTTGTGACCAAAATGGCTGTCGTCAGAAATTTCAAACGTATTCAGGATTTAGAAAGCATCTTAACACAAAGCATGGACATTTTAATATTGATATTGGTGATGAGGACCCAATCTCCGAAGTGCTTTCTGACCAGCCAAATTCACCTGATCCACCAAATGTGTCTAGTTCTATAACAGAACAAGCAGAATGTTCAACTAGTGCTAAAGAAAATGGTAAAAATACCCAAGAAATGTGTGCATCTCTCGTTGCAAAGCTTAAAAGCAGTGGTGTGCCCTCAACAGTTGTAACATCTGTTGTTGAGAATTTAGAGGAGCTTGTACATGAACTTCATTCAAATATAAAAGATGATGTCCTAAACTTGGTTCCTGATGATATGGACACACAGTCCAAAATGAAATCATACTTTGAGAGTCTTGAAAACCCATTTACATGTTTGAATACAGAAAATAATGGAAAAAATACTTAAATGAAAAGTGTCATATGGTAGACCCTGTTGAAATCCCACTTGGTGTGAGATATGACATAAGTTCATGTGACCGATAAATTTGTGTATGTCCCCATCCTCGAAACTCTAAAGTTTATCCTTTCTAACAAAGAAATAAAAAATCATATTGTTCAACCTTGTGAAGATGGAGTTTACAAAGACTTTTGTGATGGTTCATATTTTAAAGGGCATCCACTATTTTCTCAGAAAAACAATTCACTCCAAATACAATTGTTTTTTGATGAATTTGAAACGGCAAATCCACTTGGATCAAAACATGGTATCCACAAGATTGGAAGTATGTACTTTATTCTGCGAAACTTTTCTCCAAAGATAAATTCTGCTCTGATGAATATTCACCTAATATCACTTTTTCATAGTGACGATTTCAAAGAGTATGGATTTCAAAGAGTCTTGGAGCCAATGTTAAGTGATTTGAAAATTTTGGAGACAAAAGGTATTGAAGTTCCTCCTTTCAATGGCCCTATTTATGGTACAATTGCTCAGATAACTGGAGATAATCTGGGGCTGCACGCATTTCTTGGGTATGTTCAGTCTTTCAGTGCAAACTATTATTGCCGTTTTTGTCTAACAGATAAGGACATGTGCCAAACTATTTTCTCTGATGATGATGCAAACATAACATTATGTTGCAAAGAACTGCATGCTCAGCACTGCAAAGATGTTGAAGACCCTACCATCAATTCATCCTTTGGAGTTAAGCAAAAATGTGTGCTAAATGATCTGAAGTACTTCAATGTTTCTGATAATTATGCTGTCGACATAATGCATGATGTACTTGAAGGAGTGGCACAATTTGAGATAAAACTTCTTTTAGGGATCTTTGTGGAAAAAAAACTCTTGACGCCGCAGGATATTAGAAACATGATGTATGCTTACAACTTTGGTTATGTGGAAAGGAAGAACCGTCCAACTAGGATCAACCTGGAGCAAACTGGAAATGGTATTGGCCTCAATGCCATACAAACATTTTGTCTAGTTCGAAATGTGCCTTTACTTTTTGGTGATGTAGTGGAAGAAGGGGACTCTCACTGGCGACTTCTTTTGCTTTTATTACAAATCATAAACATAATATTCTCCCCTAAAATAACCGAGGGTATGACTATCTTCCTAAAGCATCTCATTGTGGAACATCATAGTCTTTTTAAAATATTGTATCCCAATAGAAATTTGATCCCAAAACAACATTTTATGATCCATTATCCTAGAGTTATACGAAAAATTGGCCCTATTCTGTATTTTTGGGCGATGCGTTTTGAAGCCAAGCATCGTTTTTTTAAGAACACCATAGAAAACTTCAAGAACATAAGAAAATCTTTAGCCCAAATACACCAAATGTCCATTGCATTTAATTGGCAATCGTCACCATTTAAAAGTATTGATTGTGGGCCTGTGAAATCTGTCATACTTGAGAACTTGAGTAATGGTGAACTCATTGCTGACTGTTTACACATAGAGCTGGACTCTCAAATAGATGTCACCTCTTGGGTCACTTGTTTTGTACAGATCGTTCTGGTCTTATGGTCTGTTCTACAATTGAAGAAGGAATGCCAGTGTTCGCTCAAATTAAAGACATTGTGTTGTTTGATCAGTTTCATCTTGTAACAGTGGATTTTGTGACTCTAGGATTTGCAGAACATTTTCATTCCTACCATGTGTCAGAATCTGATATGGTACATGCGTCGCTGCTTAAAGTTGATCAGCTGCAATTCTTTAAGCCATTTGATTTGCAGACAACTTATGGCTTTGACAATAACGATTATTATGTTGTTCCTGTTCATGTATTTTTGTGATACAGTAGCACTTTCATGCTCAGCAGAAAACGATTGTCATGCTAATATTGCAGTTTTCAAATAAATGACAAACCATTTCAATGCAGTTTTTTCCTTATTTGATTTTACTAAAAGATTTGTGCTCCAATTATTTTGTTTCACATGAATTACCTTTGCATTTTACTATTTGCAGTGACCAACCAACACCAAGTTGGGTAAAAAAGGGATTTTGAAAGAGGTAATCAACACTAGAATAGATTACATTATTACCCCTTACAGTGTCTAATTGACACTTACTATTGATTTCACCATTTACACTGAATAGAGGCAAAATAACATTGGATTAACTCCAGGTGTTAATTCTTGGTGTTAATATATTAACACTGTGAGATTATAAATATACTCTGTGTTTGGTGTTAAAAAAAAACTCTTTGAAGAGTGTTAAATGTACTCAAAACTCTTGGACCCAAATACACACCGAGATTGGTATTAAACGTACTCTTAAAGTGTAAAATATACACTGTCGGATTTGCTGTGTATAATATTCTAAATCTGAACGTAAACCCATAGTGCATTCACGGTACGGCTGGCTCATGCATGCTTAATGCCAGCCATACGCAGGTGTCTGTGTCCGCGCTGTTGCTCCATTCTGCCTTTACATTCTTATATTTATACATACAAGGCAATAAAGCAGAATACAATATCGCAATAAAATAGAACAATTAGATGAACAATCAAGGCAGGAGCGCGGATGGAGCGCCGTGAAGCCTCTCGTCACCCACGGACACTGCAGGAGGAGAGGGGCTGTGGGGCAGAGGCGGCCCTCAACAGGATGAAATAAGGATATCTTCCTTATTTCATCCAGATAATTTGTGTTATTCTTCACAGCGCGCACTGCAAGGCAATGATTATAATTTTGTTCTGATCTTAAAGAGCACTGCTTGTCTCAAATAAATGAATATATGTATATATATATATTTGTCTTTCTATTGTGTCCCGTGTAAAATTGAAGCTTTTACATTGACGATGACATTAGCCAGTAGCCGTGTCAATACGAATACTATTATTATTATCTAGATAATATTTCCCACGGTGATTGACTGGAAAGAGGAAACAATCTGGAGATGACGTAAGAAGTAGACGCATATAGCAGCGCGAAGACGTTATGGTCCCGTGCTTTTCTAAACTATTTATATTGTTTGAATTTACATATTGTTACTGAGTCAAATGTAACATAAAGTGACCGACCTTTTAGGTGTTTGCAAAGTTACAAATGAAATCTAGCCTGAAAAGTCATTGTAATTTTGTTGAATCAGTACACGCACAATGTGTCGTCTTAGCCTTTTATTTCGGCTAGACTTACAATTACTTAGCATATTTAGACAAATAATTTACACGGTTTTATTATGGTCACGATTTCCTAGCAATCAATTTGGCAAAAGGCTCTATCAGCGCAAAATACATAGCGGTCAACTGACCGCAAGGGGTGGTGCAAGGTATGTTTAGAGCACGGCGGTCCTAGTGTTAATGAGCGGGTATGCATTCAGGTGTTTACACATAGTAAACACCTGAATGCATACCCGCTCACTTTTACTTTACTTCACTTTATCTACTTATTATCCTGCCTATACGATTAGTATATAACTCCACACTACATATACATATATATATATATATATATATATATATATATATATATATAACTGTATTCCTGAAGACTTGTATTGAAGCATTTACAGCTAGCTAAGAAACATAGCTACTACTTACTTTGTATTTTTTGTGTGCTCCCTGTGTGCTCTTACTACTGTCCTGTGCGCTGCAACATTGAAATTTCCCCACTGTGGGATGAATAAAGGATCTCTTATCTTACAGTGTGGTTTAAAGGAGTGGTTATGGTTAATCCTGCACTTACGAAGGACAGTACACCTGCTTCCCTTTCTTCTTGCCCTTCTTGTTGCCTTTCTCTTTGGCCGTGCTTAGGTCCAGACACACCAGAACCAGCAGCAGCAGAACAGACACGTGCTTCAGCGCCATGTTGTTTGGGGGAAGAACCTGCGGAGGAACAAGAAATCTGTCAATAATAATAATAATAACCATTCAGCCCACATTCTCTGCATTTAACCTCTTTGGCCAGGCTTACTTGAGTAATAGCATTCCAACAGAGTCATGTTCTCTCACCTCGCCCACTTTCGCCTTGTTCCAGTCCCCAATTCTCAACAAGGTGCTCTAGTTCCCCAACACCTGATGCAGACCTTGTTAGGTTTTATATATAAAAACCTATCTGGGAAGGAGTCTGCTTTCAGGGAGGGGGACCGCAGCGGCTACAAAGCAGCTAAACATCAGTTCAGGGACGAACTGAAAGCAGCCAAGTCCTGGCACAGAGAACAACTACAGGAGCAGTTGGGTAACAATGATACTGCTTCTGTCTGGAGGGGCCTACGCGAGATCACCAACTACAAGCCCAAAGCCCCCCCCCTGTGCTGACAACCACAAGCTAGCTGACGAACTGAACTTTTTTTTCAGTCGCTTTGATGCTGCCCCTGACACCTCCCCCACCCCCCACTACTCTAGACGACGTCTACAGGCCCATTAACCTGGCCCTCCACCACATCCTACAGCACCTGGACACCCCGGGGACATACGCCAGGGTCCTGTTCGTGGACTTCAGCTCTGCCTTCAACACGATCCTGCCATCCCTGCTCCAGGACAAGCTCTCCCAGCTCAACGTGCCCATTTCCACCTGCAGGTGGATCACTGACTTCCTGACAGACAGGAAGCAGCAAGTGCGTCTGGGGAAGAATGTCTCGGACTCTCGGATTATAAATACAGGAGCCCCACAGAGCTGTGTTCTTTCTCCCCTGCTCTTCTCCCTGTAAAACCTCCAGCCACGACTCCGTGAATCTGATCAAGTTCGCGGTTTGACACCACCCTCATTGGACTCATCTCCAACAACGATGAGTGCGCCTACAGGAGGGAGGTGGACCGGCTGGTGTCCTGGTGCAGTGGTAACAACCTGGAGCTGAACGCCCAGAAGACAGTGGAGATGATTGTGGACTTCAGGAAGAGCACTGTTCCCCCGCCCCCACCCTCCGTGATGGAGTCCCCCATCACCTCTGTGGAGTCCTATCGTTTCCTGGGCACCACCATCACCCAGGACCTCAAGTGGGAGCAGACCATCAGCTCCCTCATCAAGGCCCAGCAGAGGATGTACTTCCTGTGGCAGCTCAGGAAAGCCAAGCTGCCTGCACAGATGTTGGTGCAGTTCTACACGGCCATCATCGAGTCCATCCTCACCTACTCCATCACCGCCTGGTTCGCTGGAGCCACAGTCAGGGACAAACAGAGACTACAGCGCATTGTGCGCTCTGCAGAGGAAGTGATCGGCCGCAGCCTTCCATTGCTGCATCACAGCCGACCCCTCTCACCCTGCACATGGACTATTCCAACCACTCCCCTCAGGCAGGAGACTGCGGTCCATCAGGACTAGAACATCCCGCCACAAGAACAGTTTCTTCCCCTCTGCTGTTGGACTCTTGAACACTTCTTAACCTGTCCCCCCGCCCTTTATAAAGTCACTTTACTGCCCATCATACGTCACCTTACATTGTGTGCACCATGTGCACTTGTATATTGTAAATAGTAACTGTAACTCTATTTTAAATTTAAATGTATTCCTTAGAAGTGTTTTTTATTCTTTATTTTTTATTATCTCTTTCTGACTATTGCACTGAGCCAAAGCAATTTCCAAGTCTGTGACTTCCTGTTACTTACGTGGCAATAAAAAATATTCTGATTCTAATTCTTTATGTGCTGTATCTTATTTGTGTGTATTTTATAATGTCTGGTAAGCATTTTCTGACAGTCCTGTTTGTTTTTAAATGTGCTTTATAAATAAACTTGACCTTGACCTTATAGTCCTGCATTTCTTAATGGATGTTGTAATTTACATCAAATAATAATACCCGCAAATGCATACACACAAACATATAATTCCATATAATTCCTTTGACCTCCATACTAGACCCAAGCTTTTATTGTCTTGTAACATCTTTTCAGCCCTTTTCTGCTCTCCCTGCTCCTAACTGCTCCTGATTTGGGCTTAATAGACTCAACAAATTGCTTTGACTCAGCGGGCACTCAAGATCTCACGTTTCAAAAATATAAAAATAAAAAAATAAAGGAAATCTTGGTTCAATTATCTGTCTTGTTTGATGCTTTTTGATGTAAACAGACTTTTAAAAAATCTATAAATTAAAGCCGCAAGCAGCGTTGAACGGCACAAAGAGACACCACGGGAGAAACTAAAGTGATCCCCACAATAAGGAATTACGGGCCGTGGGCCGTAACGCTCTCCCCCTTAAGAGTGCAACTAAAAGTTCGACAAAAAAAATCTATAAAGCCTATTTTAATTAATCCAACAAATCACCTAGAAATAATGTTGGGGAAAAACTCATAAGCACAGCATCAGGATGATCATGGTGCAGATTAATGCACAGAACTGCATTGCTCCAGAGACTGCAAACTTTAGCTGCCCAACCACACATCTCAGAATATTGACACTAACAATCACCAGTGTCAAAAATAGCCTACAGATTGTGGTGGAAACACACTTTTAAACACATATGCTTTATGATGCATAACATGACCAGAGGTTACTAGAAAAATACTCCCATTGTTCTCAGTGTGCTTGTGTCATACAGATTTGGTTTGGATATGGTTCTGGCACCGAGGCACACACGCTCTCACACAGGTGCTACACACCGAGCACAGGCCCACACAGCGGCCTCGTTAGAGAGTCAACCATTTCTGTAGACAATTCTCAGCTTGAACTAATTGTATACAGAGTAACAATATGGTTCCTTACACCAAGACAAACAGGTCATATGGGCTTATGTTTGTGTTCCTAAATTTAGTGCGAAAAACTTCAGAAAAACAACAACATTACTCACATCCACGGGGTAGGTCTGGTTAGTGGAATAGAGGGCATTTTAACTGCATGGACAGGCCAGTGCAAAGAGGAAGACGGGGTTGGGCCTTCAGAGCTGCGTTAGTTTCACAGAGTTCCATGATCCTTCTGTTTCACGAGATCCGTTTGAAAACCCTCCAAGTGCACGTCTGCACCGAGAGCAGCCTTGTAGGACTCGAGAGGCTGGAGACAAAAGTTTCACAGTGGAGAGCGCACAGGTGATCAGTCTGGACGCTGCACCTCAGCATCTACTCATCCCAGTGAAGGACACACATGAACAGCACGGCACACATTCGACAGTGCTACCGCTCACAGGCACCAAACCGCACCGCAACGACCTCCGCCTCAGGCAAACCGAGACTGCCATGTTCCACCAACCAACTTACAATGTGAACACTTGCAAACGAGTAACTATATTTTCAAAATTGGTCTCTAAAATACACAAAGAATTGTTTGATTCCTTCCCCTAACTTCTAAATGGCTTATCAAAATGTGGTTACTCCAGAAACTAATCCCACTGGATGTAGAGAGCCAACTTGTCCACCAAAGACAAAATTGCTTACAGAAAAATACACCAAACTTACCTACTCTATCAAAAAATATACACTTACAATTTTAGTTTTGGGAAATGGATTACATTTATCCCGGACGAGCCCCCATTTTTGTTACGACCCGGCTCAGCTATGGTGAGAAAGTAACAAAATAACCAAGATGTTAACTGGTAACTATAATTATAATAAATTATGATTTTAAAGTAGGAAAACTGGTAACAAAATATAATTAAATATCTACATAACACACAGTAAATAAATGACCTATTAAACAGTAAGCAATTGACAAAACCAAATGTGTAACCTAAACAAGTCACTGAACTAAGGTACCGGCACAAGTGACAGAACACAGCCAAAACTAATGGCGGAAGATTGGCAGTTTATAAGGGCGGGTCCTCCAGGTGAGCGCACGCTGATTGGAGGCCTGCCTCAGCTGCTGCCCAATCAGCACCCAGGCATCACAGTCAATCAACTCCAGGTGGGGAATGACTGGCCAATAGGAGCCCAGGACTCACGAGCGTGATCTTCTGAAAAAAGGGAGGAAACACAACCACACAGAGACACCACGGGAGAAACTAAAGTGATCCCCACAATAGGGAATTACGGGCCATGGGCCGTAACAGATCCAATGTTGTCCTAAATGACTGATGATGATAAATAGAATGCACCTGTGTGTAATCAAGTATCCGTATAAATGCACCTGCTCTTTGATAGTCTCAAGATTCAAGATTCAAGATTCATTTATTTGGCCATGTGCAGTTAAAAAACCACATTGGAATACGTTCGCAAGAAAGGCACTCCGTGTGCACCGACAGAACAAAAACACGAAAACACGACACAATGCAATACAAAACACACATACACTGAACATAAAACAATAAAAAAAACAGCTGACACTGTGGCACCGATCAACAAAACAATACAAGGGGTAAAAGCAGTTTAAAAGCAGGTAAAAGCAGAAATTAAAATGCTCTGTTTAGGCACCTAACAGCCTGTGGGAAGAAGCTGTTAGCATAGCGAGATGTCTTGCATCTCAGTGACCGATATCTTCTGCCAGAGGGAAGAAGCTGGAACATGGCTTTCCCAGGGTGGCCAGAAGAGTCATTGATGATTTTAAGAGCTTTGTTTAAAAGTCTGGATCTGTAAAGAACCTCCAGAACAGGAAGCTCACAGCCCACGGTCCTCTTTGCAGAGTGGAGCACCTTGTTTAAAGCTCTCTTTTCTTTATCTGTGATGTTTCCAAACCACACAGACACAGAACCAACAAGTAAACTCTCAATGGTGCAGCGATAAAAATTAAGCAGAATCTTAGAGTTAGTGGTAAATTCTCTAAGTTTCCGCAAAAAGAAGAGCTGCTGACGAGCTTTCTTAACAACCCGGTCAGTGTTTTTAACCCATTTCAGGTCGTTAGACAGAGTTAAACCCAGGAACTTGCACTCCTCTACGATCTGCACCTGGGAGTTGTCAATAACAACAGGAGTGTGAGAACTGCTATGACTGAAGTCAAAGACAAGTTCACATGTTTTTGCAGTGTTCAGCTGGAGATTGTTTACTTTACTCCACTGAAAAACATGTTCGATCTCTGCTCTATAAGAGGAATCATCATTGTCACTGATGAGACCGATGATGGTGGTGTCATCAGCATATTTGATGATCAAATTTGAGTCAGAGGAGGACACACAATCGTGAGTGTACAAAGTAAAAAGCAGAGGACTCAAAATACATCCCTGAGGAGAACCAGTGCTCACAGAAACAACATCAGAAAAACAGTCATTGATTTTTACACTCTGAGATCTGTCAGTTAAAAAGCTAAAAATCCATTTACACATGGCAACATTCAGACCAAGGGACATTAGTTTTTCAACCAATATGCTTGGGACAAGACAATTAAAAGCAGAGCTATAATCAATGAACAGCATTCTCGCGACAGATTTACTAGTGTCCAAATGAGTGTAGACAGAGTTCAGAGCAAAGGAGATGGCATCCTCCACACTCCTGTTCTGTCTGTAAGCAAACTGGAGCGGGTCAACGCTCACAGGGATCTGGCTCTTAAAGAAGTCCAGCACAAGCCGCTCAAAAGTCTTCATAAGAACAGACGTGAGAGCCACAGGGCGGTAGTCATTGAGACATGTCACTGGAGACTTCTTAGGAACTGGAATAATGGTGGACCTTTTAAAGCTCACCGGTCTCAGGGTTCTGTTTAAAGCGCAGAAAGAACCATGAAGACAAAGGAACACACCAGGCAGGTCTGAGATACTGTTGTGGAGAAGTTTAAAGCCGGATTTGGATACAAAAAGATTTCCCAAGCTTTAAACATCTCAAGGAGCACTGCAAGCAATTATATTGAAATGGAAGGAGTATCAGACCACTGCAAATCTACCAAGACCCGGCCGTCCCTCCAAACTTTCATCTCAATCAAGGAGAAGACTGATCAGAGATGCAGCCAAGAGGCCCATGATCACTCTGGATGAACTGCAGATAACTACAGCTGAGGTGGGAGAGTCTGTCCATAGGACAACAATCAGTCATGCACTGCACAAATCTGGCCTTTATGGAAGAGTGGCAAGAAGAAAGCCATTTCTCAAAGATATCCATAAAAAGTCTCGTTTAAAGTTTGCCACAAGCCACCTGGGGGACACACCAAACATGTGGAAGAAGGTGCTCTGGTCAGATGAAACCAAAATCGAACTTTTTGGCCACAATGCAAAACGATACGTTTGGCGTAAAAGCAACACAGCTCATCACCCTGAACAAACCATCCCCACTGTCAAACATGGTGGTGGCAGCATCATGGTTTGGGCCTGCTTTTCTTCAGCAGGGACAGGGAAGATGGCTAAAATTGATGGGAAGATGGATGGAGCCAAATACAGGACCATTCTGGAAAAAACCTGTTGGAGTCTGCAAAAGACCTGAGACTGTGACGGAGATTTATCTTCCAACAGGACCATGATCCAAAACATAAAGCCAAATCTACAATGGAATTGTTCACAAATAGACGTATCCAGGTGTTAGAATGGCCAAGTCAAAGTCCAGACCTGAATCCAATCGAGAATCTGTGGAAAGAGCTGAAGACTGCTGTTCACAAACGCTCTCCATCCAACCTCACTGAGCTCGAGCTGTTTTGCAAGGAAGAATGGGAAAGAATTCCAGTCTCTCAATGTGCAAAACTGATAGCGACTTGCAGCTGTAATTGCAGCAAAAGGTGGCGCTACAAAGTATTAGCGCAAGGGGGGCGAATAATATTGCACGCCCCACTTTTCAGTTTTTTATTTGTTAAAAAAGTTTAAATTATCCAATACATTTCGTTCCACTACACGATTGTGTCCCACTTGTTGATTCTTGACAAAAAAAATATTTTTTTATATCTTAGTTTGAAGCCTGAAATGTGGCGAAATGTTGAAAGGTTCAAGGGGGCCGAATACTTTCGCAAGGCACTGTAAATATGCACATTTTGCCAATAAACACTGGCTTGCTGCCACCTGGTTAGCACAGTTCCTTTTAAGGGTCGGTGGAGCTCCTTCAGGGCCCTGGCCCCTGTGGTGTTGAGGCTTTTTACTCCGCCTGTGATCCTCTCTTGCGATGTACCTGGTGATGAGGAAATTCCAATGTCGTGAGTGACCCTTTTCACTGCCCAGATAAAACTGAATAATTTGCTAATTCCTGCCAGTGCTGGTTTAAATGTTGGTAAACTCATTATTGTTGTCCAAACTGTTTTAGTCTTACACCTGATTCTGGTTTAGTTCTACTCCAAAAAATAAAAACACTTTTCATTCATCCCCTGATGCATGGAGGCCATTTTTCTCTTGGCCCACTCAAAGCAAAAAACCTCCGCTCCTGTGGGATTAGATTAAATTCGACCTTGGCCTGAAGTCTGAATCCACAGTAAGATGGAGCTCTGTGAAGGCTGCTGTAACCTCGGACACCGGCAGAATGAAGAGCAGATATGACCACGAATGGCGAACACAGTGAGTCATCTGGACCTCCATCCAGCCCCTGGGGTCCCGAGGTCAATATGTAATCTGCAAAATGCCGCTACAACTTCCAGACAGACAGAGCGCTGAACTTGTGTGTGCTAATGATGACCAATATGCAAAGAAATTTAATAAAAATCATCAAAATCCGTAACCAAAAACAGACCTTGTTTTTTTTTTTTTTACCACAACCACGGTAATATCAGGAAGTTGTAGGGCTGGGCGATATGGCTGAAAACTAAATCACAATATAAGTGATTCATATCGGTCGATATCGATCATTTTTGATTTTTTTGTCTTTTTTGTTTTAAACCTAAATAAATACATTTGTTGTGTCGGCTAACACGTTAGCAGCCCTTGTTTAGAGTCACGGGCGAATGAGAACTCAGGCTGGAGGCTTACGTTCACAAGCACAGTGTCCCCCATTGTCAGTCCTGGTTTATTCCTGGTTTAGCTCCTAGTTTAGCTCCTGTTTTTGGCTGTTTCCGGGGTGTCTTGTGTCCTCTGTGCGGCTCTCTGATAGCCGCACATGCTTCCAGAGGAAAAAGCACAAGGCAAGGCATTGAAACACGCTTCAATCCATAGATAAATGGACAAAACCACCACCCAACAACCCATGGATTCAAATAGAACAATCATATTTCAAAAAACTGCCCTTATAAGACACCCCAGCCATAAGTACCTGCCTAAAGAAACATGACTCATTTAAGAACTTAACCATATCCACCACTCTGACAGCCTGGTGGAAAACTTTGAAATTAAAAGGTAAAGGTGCACTTTATTAATCCTCATAGGGCAATTTAATCCTCTGCATTTGACCCATCCTGATGCCGTTAAGGCTTACGTCAGGAGCAGTGGTCGCCGTAGAACAGCGCCCGAGAACCCATCTCCAGATGTTGATGCTCGGCTTGGTCAGGACTACCAGAGCTGGAGGAATTTAGCCTAGTGAGCATGTTTTTAGTGGTAGGGGAAACCAGAGTACCCGGAGGAAACCTACACAGGCACAGGGAGAACATGCAAACTCCACTCACAAAGACCCTGTTCCGACCAGGATCTTCTTGCTGAGAGGCGAGAGTGCTATCCAGTCAGCCACCGTGCCAACTCACCCACTACACCCTGTAAATACACACCCCTCTGGCACAATCCTGACTTCAAAACTAACAATACACCTATTCACTTTCACTCTTGGGAACATAATGGAATTACTCACTTGCATCATCTTTTCAATAACGGTAAATTTATGACATACAGAGAACTCTCCGAAAAATACAAACTGCAAGACAACAATAGCTTTCAATACTTACAAATCAAGTCTATCATAAAAAGTAAAATTAATATAATAAATAACCCACTAAATCCTCCACAAATATTAGAAAACATAAAGAAAATCCAATCACTTAAGAAACTAATTTCAAAATTAGACTGATGACTGATGAGACAATACATACACCTCAGATCAAATGGAATACGGACATCAGCACATCTCTAACACAAGAAAACTGGACAGAAATATGCAACAATACGTTCTCCATGACACCCAACACTAATCTACAACTAATTCAGTATGAAATTATTCACAGAACACACATTACACAATATCCATCCATCCATCCATTTTCTTCCGCTTTATCCGTTGCCGGGTCGCGGGGGCAGCAGTCTAAGCAGAGACGCCCAGACTTCCCTATCCACACACACCTCCTCAAGCTCGTCCGGGGGGACCCCTAGGCGTTCCCAGGCCAGCTGAGAGACATAGTCTCTCCAGCGTGTCCTGGGTCTTCCCCGGGGCCTCCTCCCGGTGGGACGTGCCCGGAACACCTCCCCAAGAAGGCGTGTATATTGTTACACAATATAACAAATATAAAATGGGATTCTCAAACACAGCCATTTGCACACAATGCGCCCTGGGTGTCACAGACACACACCTGCATGCACTCTGGGAATGCACCCCCGTACTGACATTCTGGAACACGGTAACCCACAAACTCACAGACATCCTGGGCTGCAGTGTCCCCCCCTCTCCCCACGCTCTGCATACTTGGCCTGACTATAACACTCCAAATCCCACCAAAACACAAGAACAGCCTATTGACATCTCTGACTATCGCCAAGAAAACAATCCTACAAAATTGGCTATTTAAAAACTCCATAAATATCAACCACTGGACCAACTCTCTCTCTCAGCACATTTCATCTTCACTTTCTACTGCTCATCATGATGGAGACATACAGACCCTCACAGAAACCTGGAAACCCTTCATAAACTACTTGAATATTACCAAAACATCTTCAACAGCTTAGTGACAACGATAAACCAACACAAGCCACTCTCTGTCTGCCGCTGCCCTCTACAACCAAATACAAATTCAAGGCCCCCTTGAACCTTTCAACATTTTGCCACATTTCAGGCTTCAAACATAAAGATATACAATTTAAATTTTTTGTCATGAATCAACAACAAGTGGGACACAATCGTGAAGTGGAACAAAATGTATTGGATAATTTAAAAAAATTTAACAAATAAAAAACTGAAAAGTGGAGTGTGCAATATTATTCGGCACCTTTACTTTCAGTGCAGCAAACTCACTACAGAAGTTCAGTGAGGATCTTTGAATGATCCAATGTTGTCCTAAATGACTGATGATGATAAGTAGAATTAACCTTGCCTGCAAGCTGAATTCTTGCGGTATTTGTGAGTTCACAAACACTCGAGATTACATCTTGTCCCGCTCCCGCCAACCCTTTTCGAGTAGAATATCTAGGTGTTCAAGCCAATCACGCGCCAGTCTGGGGGTTTAGGAGGGGATATCCGGATTTGACGAAAGCAAGAAGTGCCGGGCCAAAGCAAAACAAACATGGCTACGCAGGAGGACGGACGCGTAGCTGAGGCTATCAAGTCAGTTTTAGCAGAATCTCCAATTTCATTTTTTGAAAGATGAACAGCGAGAGGTGCTTTGTGCATTTCTGGACGGCAAAGATGTTTGTGCATTTTTACCTACGGGTTTTGGTAGGCGGGCACACAGCGTCACTTCGCCCAATCAGCTTGAAGTATTCTGCTGCTTATACCTCCTTTCCCCGAAAGGATTCTCCTGCAGAAGTCCCAGATTGATATTGTGGAGAACGCATTAGAGTTCTACACAATCATCAATCTGGCTCTTGCCAGGTTAAAATAGAATGCACCTGTGTGTAATCAAGTCTCCGTATAAATGCACCTGCTCTTTGATAGTCTCAGGGTTCTGTTTAAAGCGCAGAGAGAACCATGAAGACAAAGGAACACACCAGGCAGGTCCGAGATACTGTTGTGGAGAAGTTTAAAGCCGGATTTGGATACAAAAAGATTTCCCAAGCTTTAAACATCTCAAGGAGCACTGTGCAAGCATCCATCCATCCATTTTCTTCCCCTTAATCCATTTCTGGGTCGGGGGGGTGGCAGTCAGAGCTGCACCCAGTACACTTAGCACCAGCCCCTCACTGATCCTCCTGCAGGTGGTGAGTCCACAGGAGCACTGTGCAAGCAATTATATTGAAATGGAAGGAGTACAGTATCAGACCACTGCAAATCTACCAAGACCCGGCCGTCCCTCCAAACTTTCATCTCAAACAAGGAGAAGACTGATCAGAGATGCAGCCAAGAGGCCCATGATCACTCCGGATGAACTGCAGATAACTACAGCTGAGGTGGGAGAGTCTGTCCATAGGACAACAATCAGTCGTGCACTGCACAAATCTGGCCTTTATGGAAGAGTGGCAAGAAGAAAGCCATTTCTCAAAGATATCCATAAAAAGTCTTGTTTAAAGTTTGCCACAAGCCTCCTGGGAGACACACCAAACATGTGGAAGAAGGTGCTCTGGTCAGATGAAACCAAAATGGAACTTTAAAGGCCACAATGCAAAACGATATGTTTGCCGTAAAAGCAACACAGCTCATCACCCTGAACACACCATCCCCACTGTCAAACATGGTGGTGGCAGCATCATGGTTTGGGCCTGCTTTTCTTCAGCAGGGACAGGGAAGATGGCTAAAATTGATGGGAAGATGGATGGAGCCAAATACAGGACCATTCTGGAAGAAAACCGGTTGGAGTCTGCAAAAGACCTGAGACTGCAAAAGATTTATCTTCCAACAGGACAATGATCCAAAACATAAAGCCAAATCTACAATGGAATGGTTCACAAATAGACGTATCCAGGTGTTAGAATGGCCAAGTCAAAGTCCAGACCTGAATCCAATCGAGAATCTGTGGAAAGCTGTGGAGCTGAAGACTGCTGTTCACAAATAACCGGGCAAGAGCCAGATTGATGATTGTGTAGAGGTCTAATGCGTTCTCCACAATATCAATCTGGGACTTCTGCAGGAGAATCCTTTCGGGGAAAGGGGAGATAAGCAGCAGAATACTTCAAGCTGATTGGGCGAAGTGGCGCTGTGTGCCCGCCTACCAAGGTTTGACTTAAACCAATCCCGGTAACATTATTTGCCGTCCAGAAATGCACAAAGCTGTCCTCTCGCTGTTCATCTTTCAAAAAAGAAATTGGAGATTCTGCTAAAACTGACTGCCTCAGCTACGCGTCCGTCCTCCTGCGTAGCCATGTTTGTTTTGCTTCGGCCCGGCACTTCTTGTTTTCGTCAAACCCTGATATCCCGCCCTAAACCCCCAGACTGGCACGTGATTGGCTTGAACACCTAGATGTTCTACTCGAAAAGGGTTGGTGGGAGCAGGGCAAGATGTATTCTCGAGTGTTTGTGAACTCACAAATACCACGAGAATTCAGCTTGCAGGCAAGCAAACGCTCTCCATCCAACCTCACTGAGCTCGAGCTGTTTGGCAAGGAAGAATGGGCAAGAATTCCAGTCTCTCGATGTGCAAAACTGATAGAGACATACCCCAAGCGACTTGCAGCTGTAATTGCAGCAAAAGGTGGCGCTACAAAGTGTTAGCGCAAGGGGGCCGAATAATATTGCACGCCCCACTTTTCAGTTTTTATTTGTTAAAAAAGTTTAAATTATCCAATAAATTCCG